CTCTAGACAGGTCTCAAAGAAAAGGAAATGAAGCACCTAGCTCACATGGTCAGTTGAGAAGAGAGAACGCTTCTTAGGATCCTGGGCATGAGTTCTCCTGGTGCCAACTTAGCTGATAGCTCTCTCTGTCCCAGGCCTTTAGACAGGGATTAAGGAGGGCTATTAGAAGATGTGAGTATGGAGAAATGGGTGCTGTAGACTTTGAGGCTGTTTTTTTGAAGCAGTCCTGGCCACAAAGATTTGGTGAAATGCTTGATGTCAAGGGAGCCCAGTCTCAACTATCCACTGATCTGTTTTGGATTCTGGAATGGCTTAAGTATTCCCTTTATCCTCAGAGCCAGTGGCAAGTATCCTCAGATGCAGGGTCATCAAGACAGAGTGGGCCTTACCAGTTGTAAGAAAGCTTTATGATACACATTCCCAGGTCATTACTGGACTCTAAAGTTTGATGCCCCTAGTTTCAGAGGCAGTCATTTTAAAGATGGAGAGACTCATGCAAACATCCTGGGGATAGGTACAATGATGTTCCTTTAACAGGTTTGTGTGACTATTGCTTCAGCAGTCAGATAATGGGAGCTATAGCCATGCTTATCTAATCCAAAGTACTGTGGTCCAAACAATATTTGGCAAGAGCTGTAGCTACAAATACTACTATGCACAGACATCTGTGGCTCACAATTTGGAATGCAGATCCAAACTAGTCTTAGTAATCCAAGTATATGATTAAAGTAGCATGGAATCATTTATAACAGATAATTTATAAAAACTAAAGGAAAAAGAGCCCATTTAGCCATCCACCAGAATGATAGGTGATTTACTACAGCCCAAACTTGCTCACTTAATGTTTTTCAGCCCCAGTCTAGTAACACAAATACAAGGAGGCCTAGAGCCATTTGACATGGGTCAGACTACCAGACAAAGCATCACTGGAAGGCAGGATCCCCCTTTTTTGCCTCAGGTAAAGAGTATTCCAAGTAACAGGGACATACCAAGATCCACCAGTAGAAGGCAGTGTTGCTCCTCCATCACCAGAGGTGCCCGGGTGTTTTGTACAGTTGGCCCTAGCTGCATCGTAGAATTTGAAGACATAACCTCACCACTGATTCATATTGTCTTCCAGGTTGCAGTGGCAAACACTGATGGCTTAGGCCATTCAATCATCTGTTTGCCATCAAAATTGGTTCAACCAGCAGAAAAGTTCTCAATTCTGTTCAAGATGTACAAAGAGAATAGGGACTGGAGAGCATTCTGGATCTCAGAAGGGTCAATTGACATGTGCAATATAGCAAGTTCTGTGTAGAAAACATGAAACCCATAAGGTAGGCATGGTTCTCCACAGAGGGCAACTTGATTGAAAATGCCTTGAACATCAAATGCTTCAAAGGTTTTCTTTATGCTTCCCCTCCATTCTTCTCCTGACTTGCTTTCTGTGTAAGATGTACATGAAGAAAGCAGAAATTATTTTGGCAGCTCCCAGCAAGCTGAGAAGACTCCAGGGTGGCACAATTGTCTGTGAGTCTTCAGCAGGTACTTTCCATCAGACTTGACTTATTCTGCCTGTTTTATAGACCGTATATTCATGGGTCAAGTCCAGTGGAGTAAAATATGCAGGATAGCAACATAGTCCATAGTCTCTTTCTTTGAGAAGTGCTACAAGGTTAGTTTACAGGTTTCTGAAAGACTTTCTTTGGCAGATGCGTCTTGCAACAAGTAGTGCCTTATTTGTAAACCTGCCCAGCAAGTAGCTCCACCTGTTGGGAAACACTCTGATTAGTCATAGCTAAGGATACTCTGTAACTAGTAAAATTGGACACTGGATTTACTATGAAGTTCCTTTTTTCCTTTAACTAGTTGTGTGTGTGGGGGTGTTCTTTACTGCTACCTAAGGATTGCAGAAGAAGATTATTTGAGCCTGTTTACTAGATCAAGGGGACCATCCACCCAGCTGATCATAGTAAAAAAAAAATTCATGGTAAGTCCAATACTCCATCCCACTTTATGCTGAATCAGTCAGATTCTGCCTCAAGTGATGTTTCCAGGTCTCGGTATTTTAAGAATTTAGACAAGCTACATTTCTGAGAAAGGCAACAAGGATGTTCAGAAACTTAAGTACTAGAAACAAGACTGAAAGAATTGGGAATGCCTATTTTTGAGAAGAGAAGGATTCTTCAAATACCTGAAAGGAAATTGCACAGAAATTAAAGTTGTGCAAATTAAAGTTCATTCCAGAGCACAAGACAAAATCATAGATTTAAGTTACAAAAAGGCAGATTGATTAAATGTTTGAAAAGACTTTTTAACAGTCAGAGGGAGGCTAACCTTGGATTCTTGTACTGAACAGGG